ACACCTGATGCTTTGCTATTTAGCATACTGAATTGCAAAAGTGTGTTTTAATTGGTGAGCATGGCGGACTATTTACTAGCTCCTCAAAATCTGCGCAGGATTCTAGATGGTGGAATTAACGGCATTAAAGATTTGTAGATGGTGAAATGTATTTCAGAGGCTCTTCCTACCTTTACATGAATAGGGTGTAAGAAAGGATTCTGCCCACCCACTTTTTAGCTCTGGGGAATTCTGCTTCCTGGATGCCAACTATCAGGAAAGAAACCTATCTCTGAAATCTAGGCAGGTGCCCTGAGTGAACCTTTCACTCAAGGTGGTCAAAGCACTTAAAAGTATAGACAGAACAATGGCACATTCTCAAGCGTACCTGAAAAACTGTTCTCATGGACTATTTTTAACTCTTGTGTTAGGTACTGTTTCACTAAAAAACATCAGTGGGGTACAAGGTGATCTGAGACTTGTCTTCATTTATAGAATGTGGTGGTGGTGAGATTGTGGAGGAAGGAGGTAACTCTCACTGCTTCACTTTCTTGGCTGGCTCTCATAATCTGTCAAAGTCTAAGAGCTGTGTAGGAGCAAATTGGCTCAGAGACAGGGGGCGTCCAGGGCTAAGTCCTTGGCCTCTGTTATTCTCTGCTTAAATAGGAAGTCTCACCTTCTTCCATTACTTCAATAACTGTCCAAGTGCAGAGAGTCTCTAAACCACATCTCTCTCCAGACCATTTTAACCAATTGTCCACAAAATATCTTTACTTGGATGTCACATGGCATGTTTAATACTGGACTTAACATCTTCTCAGTTCCTCCCTGTTCCCCAACTAGCTCCTCTATGTCCCAGTATTAGTGGTTCCAAGAGTACCATCTAAGGGAACACCTTAAAAATACAGAGTCCCAGCTCGGCGCCCATAGCACAGTGGTTATAGCGCCAGTCGCATATACCAAAGTTGACAGGTTCGAACCCGGCCCCGGCTAGCTAAACAACAATGACAACTGTAACAAAAAATAGCTGGGCTTTGTGATGGCCCCCTGTAGTCCCAGCTTCTTGGGAGGCTGAAGCAAGAGAATCACTTGAGCCCAAGAGTTTGAGGTTGCTGTGAGCTGTGATGTCATTGCACTCTACTGAGGGCGACATAGTGAAACTCTGTCTCAAAAAAAAAAAAAAAAGTACACATCATCACAAAATCTACTATGGCCTAGAAGATTCTGTTTGTACTTCTTCAAAGCCTATTCTGCCAGTTTCTTCTTTTTTAGTAAAGCAGGCCTTTTCCCATAGACACTTATTTAAAAGGGGTGATGAGATTTTTGCCAGGCTTAGACACACCTAGGATCAAATAAGCTTCTCCACTTGGCTGTTTTCCTACAGAACCTGCCATTCCTTGGGGGGGGGTCTACAAACAAGATGGAAACGCTCAACTTATAAATGAACTTTTGATTAAAAAATTTGTTTTGCAGAATTTATTCTCTTTAGGATCAATAGATAAAGAGTTTACTTGCACCACTGCCTAAAGACTTCTTCTTAATATCTGATAGGGAAAATAAAATAGAATAAATGAATGATACTCAGTACACTTGATAATAAGGCAGAAAACTAACTTCTAATATTCACTTAAGATAAAAGGATACATCAATAAGAGAGAGCAGGGCAGCACCTGTGGCTCAGCTGGCCCCATATGCTGAGGGTGGTGGGTTCAAGCCCGGCCCTGGACAAACTGCAAAAAAAAAAAAAAAGAGAGAGAGAGAGAGCAGAACCCCCCTTTTCTGATAATACCTCTAAAGACAGTAAATCCCCTTTTCTGGTAATCTTAAGAGACTACACAGAAGGGTATAAATATGACCTGGTGAAAGAGATACCCTCTCCCCTCAAGGCCTTTCAGCCAGGGATATCGGCTTTCTGTCTTTCTTAGAACAAACATACTTACAGGTCTTGGCCCCATGCCTTGGCTCCTTCTGAGCTCCAGACGCAATGGCACACACGTTCATCCAGAGCCACAACACATAATGTCTGGATTTTATTCCGATCTTTTTGTGATGCTTCCTTGGGGGAAATGCTCACCTTTGCAAAGTCTTTCAAATGCTATCAGTGTCCTGCAGGGAGGCAGGGAGAAACTGATGCCAACTGCCTCTATTCCTGTAGCATTGAGGTGGTTTAGAAAGTGTTTTCAAAACAGGATTCATTCAAATTGATCAAAAACACTTAAGAAAGCAGATGTGGTAGAAAATACTGATTTTTTTACTGTGCTATCTTCATTAAATCCTATTTTAATTATCAGGACGGTTTATCTCTCAGCAACACAGGGATTTTGAATTAGTGGACCTTATATAGTTCCTTTAAGTCATCTCAGGGCAGAATAGTGTGGCCAAGTAATACTTTTCTTACCACACTGGGATAGTTATTAACAGTAGCTTTTATATACCTAATAAAAAATGGGAGCCATAATTCCCCACAAGAGAAGGAGTGTGGGGGGAAACTTGTTCTAGAGTTGGGAAGACTTGGCTTGACTCCTTACTACTGAGCCATTTCCCTGTTTTGGGTGGACTGTTTGACATGCTCTTGTGGTCCATCTCTTTGCATGTGGTCCATGCAAATTGGCAGGTTTACAGTTTATTAATGTCCCACCTTTATTTCCTGTGTGGCTGTTGTCATTTCTTTCTTTTTCTTTTTTTTTTTTTTGAGATAGAGTCTCAGTCTGTCACCCTGGGTAGAGTGTGGTGGTGTCCTCTTAACTCACTGCCACCTCAAACTCTTGGGTTCAAGTGATCCCCTTGCCTCAGCCTGGTGTATAGGTTTGTACTACCATCACTGGCTAGTTTTTCTATTTTTAGTAGAGACAGGGTCTTTTTTTTTAATTGTTCAGTTTAGTTTGAGGATACAAAGAATTAGGTTACAATGTTTGCATCTGCATCCCTCTTATAACTGTGTCCCACCCCCAAGAAGAGTGCCATACATCTTAACATTGTGCCCATTAAGTGGGAGCCCGCCCATCCTCCTTTCCCCTCTCTCCCAGCTCCCTTGTTCCCCACCCCCACCCCCTGCCTTGAATTGATTTGAGTGTTTTAGAGACAGGGTCTTGCTCTTGCTCAGGCTTGTCTCCAACTCCTGAGCTCAAGCAATCTACCTGCTTTGGCCTCCCAGAGTGCTAGGATGGCCTCCCAGGCATAAGCCACCTTGCTTGACTATCATATCTTTCTTAAAGATTAATAAATGAAGAGTTCCCAGTGGCCAAAAGAACAAACAGATTTGTTCTCAGAATGCTTTTGAAACATTATTTAAGCATCACAGAATTTTATTTTATTATTTTTTTTGAGACAGAGTCTCACCATGTCTTCCTCGGTAGAGTGCAGTGGCATCACAGCTCACAGCAACCTCAACCCCTTGGGCCCAAACAATTCTGTTGCCTCAGTTTCCCAAGTAGCTGGGACCACAGGCGCCTGCCACAATGCCCTGCTATTTTTTTGTTGCAGTTGTCACTGTTGCTTAGCCAGCCCAGGCTGGGTTCCAACCCACCAGCCTTGGTGCATGTGGCCAATGCCGTAACTGTGCTATGAGTGCTGAGCCATCACAGAATTTTAGAGCTGGAATGATAGTGAAGATCACCAAATCAAAGAATCATAAAAAGGACCTTGAAAGTTCCTTAGCCTGGAACAGTTGTTTTCAATCCCCATTGAACATTAGAACCACTTGGTATACTTTCAAAAAATACTGATATCCAAGACTGATGCGTGATCGCTGAATGGGAATCCTTGGGGTAGGTATCCTGGCATCAATACGTTTCAAATCTCCCCCAATGGTTATTATGTCCAACTAGAATTGAGAATTTGCTCTTAATATTTTAGGGATTCTATAGCTGGCTTTAAAGGGCCTGGAAACTCTCAGAACTCATAAACAAAATCTTGTGGATGTTTACCATATCTGATCCAAACTCCCAGTGGAGGGAAGACCTCAAATCCACCCTAGTACCATTGCTCAAGAAGGTAGTCCAATCTGGACAGGAGAAAGACAGGGGCCGTCTTCCACTTTCATGATGATGGTGGAGGTGGCGGCATTAGGAAAACCCAGCTGGGGCAGTTGTATTGGCGTAGTATAAGGTACCGACAGGGAGATGCTGGCCTAGTCTATCCCCCTTAGAGACAGATGCAGGCATTGAGGGGAAGGAGCAACAAGTGTGATCTGCCACTGGCCCCTGGAAGGTGGTGTGTGTTGATAAAATAGGGACCTAAATGCTGAAGGTCTCCAAAGTGGATTTGTAAATGTGCATTGGAATTTAAGTAGTTTTATAGCACTTGACTTGTTCAGGACTGAATCAGCCTTGTTAATCATCCAGGGCCATTATGTCTGATATTTTACTACCGTGTAGGCCAGGACAGGCTGACTTCTCTGAGCCTCGTTGCCTCATCTATAAATTGGGGTTAGTAATACCCAACTTTGAACTGAATGATACTGTATGTAAAGTGGCTAGGAGAGGGCCTGGCACATAGGTTGTGTCCTATAATTAGTGGATGTTATTAATGTTAATTAATTATAAAACAACTATAAAAATGTAATTATTAGGACAAATTATTCTTATAGTTTTACTATAAGTGTTAGTTTTACTAACACTTTTTTTTTGCCATCCTCAAAGTAGGGTGCTATGGTGTCATATCTCACAGCAACTTCAAACTCTTGGGTTTAAGTGATTCTCTTGTCTCAGCCTCACAAGTAGCTGGAACTATAGGCGCCCACCACAATGCCCAGCTATTTTTAGAAATGGGGTCTCACTCTGTGTCAGGCTAGTTTCAAACACATGAGCTCAGGCAATCCACCTGCCTCAGCATCCCAGGATGCTAGGATTACAGGTGTGAGCCACTGTGCCTTGCCCCCAACACGTTTTTTAAGATAGAGGTAATGACATAGTACATTCTGAACTCCCAGTTCCCACCCACAGAGCTTGGTGCTAAGCTCTGCACATGGTATCAGTTAAGAACTCAGGTTGAAATGAACTGGATGCATCTATCACTCTTACCGGGTCATTCTGCTCCTTCAGGGGTATTTCAGATCCTGGTTCTGCCTCAAGGCTGACAGAATCAATGCATTCAGCAAGTGTATCCTCAGGCACTTCTCCGTTGAGAGGTGGCTCTGTGGCCCTGGTGTCTCTGGGCTGCTCAAGGAACTCAGCGGCTTCAGTTTCTGTACCCTGAACAGCTGCGGTTTCATGCCCCTCTTCTGTGGGACCACCTGGCGTTGGCACATTTGAAATTGTAGCTGAACTACAACGCATTTCTGCAGCATCTTCAGGTAAAGAATCACTATTGGGCATCTCAGTAATTTTGTCCTTATCTCCAGTGGCTAAGGTGTCACCAGCATCATCAGACATTTTTATTATCTGTCAACACAATTATAAACACTTTATGCTTTAATCTGAATTATGAAGCTTTCATTTAAAGCCCTGCATAATTAAATTATATCTAGCAGGACTAAACTTTCTTCTACTAATAAGAAACTTCATGTAACCTCGTGGGAGGCTGAATAATGACGATATCCATGACTTAATCCCCAGAACCCCTGAGTGTGACCTTACATGGTAAAAGGAACTTTGTAGATGTGATTAAGGATCTGGAAATGGGGGGATGATTTTGGGTTATCTGGGTTGGCCCTAAATGTAGTCAAAAGTATCCTTATTAGAGGGAGGTGGTAGGAGATTTGACTACAAAGAAGACAAGGTGATTTGATGACAGGAGCAGAGTCTGGAGGGATGTGCTTTGGAATTGCAGGAAGGGGCCCCAAGCCAAGAAATAGGCCACCAGGACCTGGAGAGTGGCAGGGAAACCACTCTCTCTGAGACCCCAGAAGAACCGGCTGGCTGCCCATACCTTGACTGTAGTCCAAAGACACTGATTTCAGACTTCTGACTGCCAGAACAGGAAGAGAATACATTTGCATTGTAATTTGTTATGGCCACAATAGCAAACTAATATAAACCTACAGTGCCATCTTGAAACTTTCCTGAATCTCTTACGTGGCATGAAACGGTATGTACATGGGAACTAAGAGTATTATCTATAAAAGTATTTATGTAATCTGACTTTATGTGTTATAGAGGTAGCAATTATGAGACTAAACATAGAAGTACTCAAGTGCTTATCAAATAAATACCTGTAATTTAGCTTTGCAGTGTCATCAGAGATTCAAAGCAAGAAAGACGGATATATATATATATGTGTGTGTGTGTGTGTGTGTGTATATATATATGTATGTATTGTCAGGGATCAGTTGGTCATGGCCTGGGACAATAGTTTATTTAGTCAGGGAAATACAAGGATAGAATGGAAAGGAGTATATTGTTCTCATAGTTTAACATGGTTTCTCAGACACAGTGGGAAGCTCCCCAGATATTCCTGCTGAGCCCTACTGATGTTTCAGAGATGCTCAGGAGCTCTCTTACAGCAGGTGGTTCCAAATGACTCTGTATTTCCCCATTATCTTTTCTTTCCTTCCCTCACCTCCTAGTGAACTGAGTTAGGATGTATTTTCATTTCATTATTGTTTTTTTTTTTGAGACGGAGCCTCAAGCTATCCCCCTGGGTAGAGTGCCCTGGCATCATGCTCACAGCAACCTCCAACTCCTGGGCTCAAGTGAGTCTCCTGCCTCAGCCTCCCAAGTAGCTGGGACTACAGGCACCTGCCACAACGCCTGGCCATTTTTTGGTTGCAGCCATCATTGTTGTTTGGCGGGTCCGGGCTGGGGATTCGAACCCACCACCTTAGGTGTATGTGGCTGGCGCCTTAGCCTCTTGAGCCACAGGCGCCGAGCCCATTTCATTATTGTTAATAACAGTGATAAAAATGCAACTATTAGGACAAATTATTCTCATATATGTCTTACCAACACATTTTTAATGAGTTATGATAAAGAGGATGTTACTTTTAAACAAAAGTCCCTGCCAGACCTTGAATTCAGTGATAATGCTCTGGCAAACAAGTCTATGGGTAAGAAAGGCAATGAATGCCGTCCTCCCTCTAGCTGGTATATGAGGTCTAGGATATTCGAGGTTGGCCGTGGGCTGTCAAGGCTCGCTGAAATAGTAAAGAATGACACAAGGCCACTGCACAGAAAGGGGTTGTTACTGTGGTTTCTGTAGGGGAGGGGAAATGACTTAGGGGTACTCAAAAATCACTGGGCAGTTTATAAAATCTTTGTAAAAACCTCTGAGTCAGGACTGGCCTGAGACACGGGATTGGCAAACTACAACCTGCAGGCCAAAACTTGCCTTCTGCCTGTTTTGATAAATAACATTTCATTGGCCCTTTTGTTTACATACCATACATCATGGCTTCTCTGGCACCACAACAGCAGAGCTGAGTAGTTGAAACAGATCACATGACCTGCAAAGTCGCAAAGCCTAAAATGTTTACTATCTGACCTGTTATAGCAAATAAATGCTGACCTGGGGCCTAGGGCATTGCTTGATTGCCACAGCCTAGATATCTGTCTTAATTTCTCCCATCCTTGCTTGAGTCCAAAGGACAAAACCAATAAGGAAAATGAACCCATGAATAAATAACACTTCAATATCACTTTTATTCCCTCCCTTTTTTTTTAAAATCATAAGTCAGTTGTAGGGATTGTATTATTATTTTTTTTTTGAGACAGTCTCACTCTGTAGCTCTGGGTAGAGTGCCCTGGTGTCCTTCCTAGCTCAAACTCTTAGGCTCAAGTGATCCTTTTGCCTCATCCTCTCAAGTAGCTGGGACTACAGGTGCCCTCCACAATACCTGGCTAGTTTGTCTATTTTTAGTAGAAATGGGGGTCTCACTCTTGTTGAGTTTGGTCTCAAACTCCTGAGCTCAAGCAATTAACCTGCTCTAGCCTCCCAAAGTGCTAGGATTACAGGATCAGCCACTACCCATGGTTTAGTCTTTTTATTTCTTGGTAAGCTGACTTGAAAACCCTTACTATTAATCTGGATTATTAAGAAGCTCCAAAATATTTTCATTTTCTATAAGCAGAGACACAAGACTCAATCTCATTATGACAAACATTTATGGGCAAAAAAATAACTAAAACCATTGTGGACACTTTGATATATGACATGCTCTGTCCTAAACATGTCGTTATACTGTTTGTAACATCTTCTAAAATACTTCATGTGACAGATGACCTGTTAATTAGTTTTAATTTATGCCCTCAGGGTGGTTAACATTTGAAGTGGTCTATTCAGGAATATACTCTCAAGGTCTTCAGTAAGCACTACAAAATCCTTAAGTGGTCTGATTGTTTTTTTTTTTTTTTGAGAATGAGAGTCTTACTATGTTGCCCTCGGGTTGGCCCTAAATGTAGTCAAAAGTATCCTTATTAGAGGGAGGTGGTAGGAGATTTGACTACAAAGAAGACAAGGTGATTTGATGACAGGAGCAGAGTCTGGAGGGATGTGCTTTGGAATTGCAGGAAGGGGCCCCAAGCCAAGAAATAGGCCACCAGGACCTGGA